TCTTTCCCTCATGTTTCTTTGCTTGTTTTGTAAAACGCGCGTCGTCGAACGCATCCCCTATGCACGCACGTAATCAACGAGCGATCTAAATTGCTGATGCGCTAACCGCTTCGAGCTCGGTTCACTCGACATTTTCAGCACGCGCCTGCTTTTATTCGATTCGCGCACGCCGATAGAATCTGAAAATCCGCGAGTGCATCAATTCTACGGACGTCCCGATAGAAATGCAAGTTTGTCCAAAAAAAAAAAAAACTTCCGTGACCTTGGCCGTTCACAATTCTGGCACCTCGGACCTCCGCGATCCAAAATCCCGAGAATCTTTGAATCTTTAAATATTTTTGGATCCTTGCGTTGAACGATCTGAATTGCTGTGGATTGCTGGATGGAGGTTGCGTGCCTCGGGAAAAAAATATTGAATTCTCTTGAGAGACGAAACAATGAATGCAACGCGGGAATGTGAGGTGCGGGGGAGGAGAGCGGCGGTGAATGAAGAGGGAGAGAAAATTCCGGAGGTGAAGTACTGTTGTCGATAGCCGAGTCAACGCGGATTTAACCAATTATCACCCCGCTCTCTCGACGTGAACGTACGAACGAGGCCCTTCCGGCATATGCTCGACCCATCTGGCAAACTATGCGATGTTCCTTATTGTCCTTTGGGGAAATAATAATGCGATACTTGCGCCTGCATCATATCAAGTACTTCACGTTATAGAGATTTTGTGCTCCCGGATAGCGAATAACATAATCGCGCATAAGAGGAAATTGGAAATTTCTTTGGCTTGAACCACCATTCTTTTCAGCGATTAAATTACAAATTTTATGGAAGATTGATTACTATTGGAATAGAAAAAAAAAGAATTCAATTAAATTGTATGTTTCATTTCAATACATTTTGTGGCGTGAAAAAACCCAGGTAGCAAGTTGACGTTTGTCGTCATTTTGCTACTAAAATGATGTCTCTAATACCATTTTGATGCCAAAACGGCGACAAATAACGTTAGCTTGCTGCCTGGGAAAGATACAATGGGAGATATTTTCTGTACACGAAATTATACGTACTACTGTTTTTCGAAGGACTTTGCGGATGCACGATGTTCAATATTTTTTTCGATGCATACACGACAGGACGGATCAGTGGAACGATATTATATGTATGAGCACACACATACGTGTGTCGTTACGTGTATTTTTTATATGCGCGTATGCACAGGTAGTTCTTGACGGGAGAGGCAAATGGAGATAAGAGGAGAGAAAGCGGAGGTATTTTGACAGCCTCGGCACTTGTCCCGGGAATGCCTCGAATGCCTGTGCTGGTACTCCTCGGTAGCTGGGGCTGGGGATTTTTCGCCATATTCCTCTTGCTTCTGGCCACCCCCAGTCCCGCTGCCATTCGCAGAGGTAAGTCTAATCCAGGGGGCTGCGGGGAACCGAGGGACAGGGTATAATTTCAGCGAGAGTTCAAATTTCCAGGCCAGCGACACGCGAGAACGATCTCTACATTTATTCGCCGGCAGATGCAATCCTACACCGCGATCATTTCTAGCGCTTTTCCGCAATCTTACGCTATTTATCTAATTGGTAATCTTTTAACGATCTGATAAGAATCGTGCGACTCGCCTTTCGAAACATTCGAGCCAGATGATGAAAAAAAAGCAGTAATAAAACGATAAAAGATTTTCTGATGTTGTGTTTATCCTTGTATCGCAATTATTCCGAGTCTACGTTTGCAACGTTGAACACGAAATACCGCAACTTTCAATTTCTAATTTAATCCAGTGGATAAAATACTGTTGTAACTGACGGATTAATCTCGTTTAAGGATGCAGCATCAATCCTTCCTCCCCCCCCCCCTCTCTCTCTCTTTCTCTCGAAAGACTTGGACCTGCATCCAAATCCAATGATGCGCGGTTTAATGAAAACTCATCCAGGGAGCTACTTATCCTGGGAGCAATTATCGCAACTTCGTTACGCGGCTAACAGGTCGAATTATCGGTGTAACAGCCGAGACGCGCGGCCTCGAATCTTAACCGTCGCATTAGAGAGATTTACTTGCGCTGGGTATATCGTTGAACGCGAACCCACCGAGGGCGAAGGAGGGTTTTGATACCCTGCGGAAAAGTGATTTACGAACGAGAGACGGCCCGGCCATAATACGAGGCTGCCGCTTTATAAGAGGTATCTGGCAAGCGGGTCGAATATCGATTACACGGCCGAAACTTGTGTCGCGTGTTGTCGCGCGTTCCTTACCCTCCGCCGTTCTTCTCGTATTCTATCGGTTCCGCGTGTCCCGTTCCTTCATCGTTTCTTCCGTTAGCCAACCGGGTCAACGAAAAATACCGTTGTTCTAATACGGTTGCACGAGACATCCCGTATTTTCGCGACGCTGGATTTAATAATATCTTCTCCGACCAACTTGGTTTTTCGAAATCAATATTTTCTTAGCGAAGACATCGCGGATGGTCGTCATTTAACCGCATCTTCTCCGTTTTCATTAAAGCGAAGTCTACGTGAAATTAATTAAAAAAGTATGTTTCTCTGGAGTTGAGCTTCTTTCCGGGAATATTCTCAAAAATATCTTGCATACTCTAATTATATATATCTTTTATTACTAATGAATTCCTTATTGCTAATTAATAAAATTATTATTAACACATTTACTATAGAATATTAGATATTTGGTATAAAATTACATATAATTAGCATACTTGATAATTAATAATTGAAATCAAGAATGGGAACGAAATAAAGAAGAGAGCATTCCGGAAGAGTTTCTCTTTCTTCTTTTTTGTTCTAACCAGCTTTATTTCAGCGGACCGAGGTCACTGCAACAAGACAGTGGACATTTACGAAGATGTGTCGAGCCCGGCGGTGACCCCAGCAAATTGGGGTAAGCCCCTCTCGTGCTGGTACCGTTTCCGTGCCTTTCGCGGAACACCCCGGGACTGGATTCTGCGGGTGCGCTTCAAGAAGTTTAAAGTTGGAGTGCTGGAGAACGCTACTACCTGCAGCGGCGGTTATCTGCAGGTGAGCGCTTTGTGTGTCTTTATATGTGTGTGAACTTTGCCGTTCGGGAAAAAGAGAAAGGATGAGAGACAGTGTTCCTAATTCCAGGATTGCGCATCCAAACGGCACAGCCGAATTCATCTCATCGAGTCTCCACACCCCTCGCTTCGCGCTCTCCTATTAATTGAATAGGGAGAATCCGGCCAATTAATCGGGCGCTGGAATTTAATTTCGATTCGACAATAGCGTTCCTCGATTATTCTTTCGATTCGAGTTGGATACCGAGGCCGAATCGGCGGAACGAGGGAGGGTAACGACGCGACGGAGGGATGCTGATATACTCGCGTATCTCTTTGAATCGTGTCGCGGACCAATGCATACGTGGTACAGTCGAACCCGCATTGTACGATGAAAATGCGCATATTTCATACTCGTAAGCGCTGCACATTTTCTGGAAAAGAAAGAACACGCAGTTACGCCAGATGTAAAGTGAGTCTGATATATCATTATCGGATTCGCCTCGCTTCGTACGCAACGATGCATTTAGAGTCTATTTTACGCCTAGGCACACCAGACTCTATACTTTTTGAGGAATACTCTACGACGAAATGAAAAATAGAATCTCTATAATAATCACATCAAATCTTTTATTTCAATAGAATACTATGATCTTATCGATTTTATATTTTGAATTTTTACTATAATTTATTCAACTAACTTCAGCTAATTTAAATTAATCACATCGAATCTACATTTGATTGAAATCTGCGACTTAGCTCGTTTAAAATAGAGACTCTCGAATAACGTATTGCTCAGAACCCTCGTATTCCGATAATCCCCATAACACCCCATGATGAATCGAGCGCACGTTCGCGGCGTATTGACTAGATAATAACTCGCGGGTTTGTTTGCGCCGCGACTATCATAAGAATGGAATAGTTCAGTTTCGCGTTAATCTAGTTTTGTCCATCGGGACGGGGCTGACAATGAATACGCGAGGGGCAAGCGCAGCCGTATCAATGTCGCGAATTAGAGCATTTCCGTATAACAGATGAACGCGATAAGTGATTCCCTCACCTTTCTCCCCGTTTGCCACTTGCTCCTCTTTCGAGCGAGCAAGCGAGCGAGCAAGCGAGTGCGCGCGGGCGCACTCGTCCTGCTGCCACCTCTCTCAGTTACTTCGGTATCAGGTATTGATCTTTGTGACGCTGTAAACTTCTCTCTTCTCCTCTCTCTCTCTCTCTCTCTCTCTCTCTGTTCACCGTGCTCTCTATTCTCCCCTGTATTTTTCCTCGGTTTCCCTCGCGACTTTCAAATTTACACCAGTAAAAAAGGATGAAAAGTCAATAGTAGTCACTTCAGGTACATTTTCCTCTGCATGATATCGTAAGATTCAAGAAGCGGGATGCATGACGAAACCATTGTACTTTTTACTGGACTATTAGTTTCCGTTTGAATAAGTATGTCTTCCATAAGTTCTTATCATCTTCGTGTAAACTTGCAGATCAATTATTATTTTCTATACTTCCTAATAATTCTTTGTCAAATTATCGTGTGTTTTATTTGAATGCCTATTATTTTTAATAGACTTAATAATTTTAGAGAATAACGTTTTGCTTCAAATGAGTGTACGTGCGTAAACTCGTAAATATAAAACATTTGTATTTAACCAGATCACATTATACGATATAAAGAATTTTAATTATAAACTAAGTATAATTAAATTTCACCGATCATATCTTTTAGTGACACGAACGATTATTGTTTATAATTATATTTTACGCACGACAAAATTTTGGCATGAGAGATTGGATATATTGGTCATTAAAATTGATTAAGCTTCTCGATTCCTGACGCAATGTCGTCCTTACGATCATCGATCGTTTCAAACGTTATATATCATGCGTTCTCCGTCACTGTTCCAGATCATAGACGGCAACACGAAGACAGAGGTGAGCAATCGCAAGGACCCGGGCGTCTATTGCGGCGAATCCGAGCAGCCGCAGACCTTCATCAGTGAGACCAGCTTCGTGCGGGTGATCTTCCACGCGGACAATTTCACCGATCAAACGTATTTCAGTTTTGATTCGCGTGCCGAGCCGCAATTCGAGGTGTATCTTAGATACGGCCAACACCCGGAGCTCTATCCGAATCGTCGTGGCGAGGTCGTACCAGGCAGTTACTGCGAGCGCGTCTTCAAGGACTGTCGGTTGCAAACGTGCTACGTACAGAGCCCGGCTTATCCCGGTATTTATCCGCGCGCGTTGCACTGCAAATATCGTCTAAACACCCGACTGCCCTTCATTAAACTCTACATTGAGAACGAAGAGTTCAACATCGATGGTCAACGTTGCGAGAATATCATGACATGTCCGATGCGGCCGATCAGTTCCGGCTCGGAGCACTGCCCTTATGATTATATACGCGTGTACGATGGTAAGAACGAGAGTAGCCCGGTGATCGGCACTTTCTGCGGTATGGGAAAATTCCCATACAGCATTATTGGTACCAGTGAGGATCTCTACGTCGAGTTCGTATCGTCGCCGGCTGGTCCGTTGCTTAACACTGGTTTCCACTTCAACGTGGGCAACTGGCCCGGTCATGTAGAAACTGCGGGCGTGAAAAACGGCAGTTGCGACTGGCTGTTGAACAGTGAATCTCTCGTGAGTGGTAATGAGGGTATCTTTCTGTCAGTTGCGCACTGGTACCCGCCACACACCAGCTGCACCTATTTGCTACGCGGTCGACCCGGCGAGATCGCTCGTCTTTATTTTCCCAGCTTTCGTGTGAACCGTATCGAGTCGCCGATTCAGCCCTACGACGGCGATTGCGGTGAGAGCCTGACGCTTTATGACGCTGACTGGCCGGACGATGCCCGGATCATCAAGACCTTCTGCGACACTTTCAGTAAACCGATGGAGAAGCATGATTTTGTCTCAACGTCAAACGCTCTATTCGTGCGATTCGAAAGCAAAACTGGCAGTTACTCCGGCAGCTCGCTCTATTACTGGGCTCATTATGACTTCTTCAATGCGACGAGATTCGGCGAGCCCACGCCCGGTACCGAGTGTGATGAAGTATTCGCATCGTGGAAGACGCGCTCGGGTCGTCTACGATCGCCATTGAATACTTTGGTTTATAAACGACCGGGCGACCCACCCGCTGATCTGTCCTGCACCTATAGCTTCATTACGGATAAGCGGCTGTACTCGCGCGTTATTCTCGTGATAGAGTCAATTAACTTCAAGGAGCATCCGTACGCTCAATGCGGCCATTGCTGGGATAGTCGAGTGGATCGGGTGATCATTCGGGAACCTAATCCAGATGGTATCAAGGGCCACTGCCTTTGTCGGATCAACAACAACGGCACTCCGGCGCCAACGAGCTCCCCGCCGGCACCGCGACCGCCTGTTCTCAGGATCGTTTCTCGGGGTGAAAGATTGGATCTGAAGCTGTTGGTGGACGGTGCGCACGCGGCTTCAAGTTATTTCAAGTGGCCCGCGCCACTCTTTGAGGCAAGATACGAGTTCGCGCATAGTCCTTTGTGCGGACCGGCGCTTCTGCCACCTGCCACCGATGGTGAGATTGAGTTTCCGCATTACGAGGCACTGGGATATGTCACGCCACCCAGGACCATTAAATGTATCTGGGAGTTACGAGTGAACCGTGAGCGCGATCTCTGGCTGCACTTTGACAAGATTAAATTCGCATCGCGCTCTTGCGAAGATGGCAAGCTCGAGATCTTCCTGCCGGGCAATGCTGAGCCGTATCTCGGTATTTGCGGTGAGAACGTCAGCTACGTGAGAGAGATGCCAATTATTTCAGCGGCGCACATCACACCGCCAATAGATCATCAGGCGCCGGGCGGTGATGTCATTGAGGAATCACCCGCTGTGATTATACAGTTTACCGGATCCATGGCACCAGCCAGGGCGGCCTTCAAGATCGCATGGACCGAACTCTTTCATCTACCAAGGGACGGATCTGGGGCTCTCAACACCGGCAAATTGGAGGACTGCGGCTTCCAGTGTCCTGGTGACGCGGGATGCATTCCCTTAAGATTGGTGTGCAACGGCGTGGTAAACTGTCCTAGTCGCAGCTTGCCCCTGCCGGGTATTCTGAATGGCACCTTCTACGAGCCGGACGACGAGTCAGTGGAGACGTGCGGTGGTCCTGTCAGTGGTAACGGCGGTGGTTTCGCTGGACCTGCCGGCTGGGCTGGCGCAGGTTTAGGCGCCGGTCTCGCCATTCTTTTGGGTCTGGCGTGTTTCATCGCCATGTGCAGGCTTTGCAGAGGACGATCCCGCTCCAGGGACATACATGTGCCCTATTAAGAGGCATGATCGTGCCTGCTTCTGCGGGTATACGCACAAATTCGGAGAACACAGAGGTCTAAGAAACGAATTTATAACGTTTTTCAAGGAATTAACATTCTTTCTTTATACTCGCATGTATGCTTGTATACACATACGTAGATGTATAAACAATAAATCTTTATTCCTGAAGAAACACTGCAAATATGACGAGAGAGATGTTCTTGTGGCGTTTTAACTTTTTAAATGCCGCTCAAATCTTTGAGCCGTATCAGCATTGCTAAGTTTGGTTAAATAAATTTTGTTTCTCTAAATATATAAGATTATAATCTAGAGAAGAATAGAATCCCTAAGGCAAGCTTATTTAACCTGTCGAGACCGTTGGTGCCCTTGTGTTTCAGACCTCTGTGTTGTTTGAGAAATCGATAGAAATGGTCGAGAAGCATTCTCTTTCTCAAAACTCATCGAGATATGTCAGGAGATGTTTTTCCATGCTGCTCCAAAACAGATTCGACATTACAAGTAATTCTCTCAGTGTGATGCTTCCGGGTCTAATGAACGTCGAGTTTGCTCATTAATTGCGAGAGGTTGATTCCGGATCTTTACTACTCTGTTGTATCGCGGTGTTCAAGTATTACTACCGTCTGTCAACGCCGATCGCCCATCCCACGTTCATCACACTGTCGGTCTTCTATTTATGCTCTTTACGGAAACTCTAATGATCCATACATTATCCTTCTCTTACACAGCGACGACGAAATTCTAAGTAAAGCTGTATTCGCCACTGCCGCGTTATGCTCGTCGTATTGTCATCGCGTCTTCTCTACACACACTGCCATAGACATAGAACTTCATACATAGCTCTCATCTCGATCGTTCTCATATGTCGTTCGCGAGAACTATCGTAGATTTGTGGCGATCGGATTATTTTTGTCGCTGATTGTACGGGCGGCGATAGCATTTCTAGCGATAGCAAGACATCTACGAGATACAGGTAGCCTCAACGTTATGTAGAAACGTTTTTATACCTACTTTTATTATCTCGTTCCTCTAATCTAATTATAGAATCTTATCGATAATCAGCATCGAAGTCTGACAATAATGAGTTCGAAGCATAAAAGGAAAAAAAAGATTATACATGGATTAGATTAAGTTAGATTAAGTTTTAAATGGTTACTATTGTTTGTCAAAAATATATATATTAGAATAATTAATAATTAAATAATTCTATACTATAATATATTGAAAATGTTTTATAATTAAAATTAATTATGTTGTATTATATATTAAACATATAATATATTTTATAATATATTTGTGATTCATTTATCAGGTGGCATTATTGCTATCTCTAGAAAATCGTACAAAATAGCATGGATCCTCAATTTCCTTTGTCGCTCGTACAAATGCAAATCAGTGAGCCGATCGTCGTAGATTCCGACTTCGGGATATAGTCCTTAGTGGTTGCTCAAAGTTGTCCTGCTTCGTGAATTCTCGAGAGAAACTCGTCGCGAGCAAGATACAATTAAATTGACTTAAAATACAGCGGGAATGGCGGGAACGACGGAAATTGATAGTACTATTCAGTAATTGTGACTTCTGACGGGTCGTGACACGCCTTGTCGATTTAACATCTTGAGGTTCGGCGACAATATCGAATATAATATACATATATATATATATATATCGAATCCGTTGCGAGGTATATAATCGCTCTAGTGTCTATATTGAAAAAAGCAAAAGAGAGAAGAAACAGGAAGTGAGAAGAGTTATGGATTCGCCGATTCGCAAGATGTCTGGACTCTATGACACCGAATGAGCGTGCCTACTAAAATATGCAGCTATTATGATGCATGTGATCGTCGACAGTGCAAACAGTTTGTATATAATAAGGCAAGGGTTAGAAGGAGGTTTGTAAAACCGATTGCTTTTTAGAAATAAACCGGTACACTAGGTGAAAGAGAAACAATTAAATAAAATAAACAAGAATAAATAACGCGTCGGCGAGACGTCAGGTAAGGTGCCGGCTATCGCAACGATAAGGAATCCCGTTAATCCGATACTCTCGTTGGTTGGATCTCCTCCTCCAGGAGAGCTATTATAATTAGAACAAGAAACAGACTCGGAAACTTGGCCCGCCGCCCCCGGGGCTGCCGCGCTCTAGGAACGATGTTTGTTTGTATATAGGGAAACATTTATGTAGGTTTAGCGACAATCTCAATACACACATCCACACGGATTCACATGACACGCACACAACCGAGCGATGCGGTATTAAGCGCATTATTAACGAGCGCAGCTATCTTTAATCGACGATATAACGATTATCTTACTACGACATGTAATTGCGATAATAACAATTATCATGATTACTATATTTTTTACTAATAAAGAGCATCCTTGGAGTCAAGGAAAGAGGTGGGTTTCTTTATATGTACTTAAAGCTTTGAATCCCTTTGACAAATCTCAGAATCCGGATTTCGGTGTGACGATGAATTAAAAGCGAGAAGGATCGTTGCCGAGAGCAAAAATTACAACGTGAGAGATCGTTACGTTCAAGATTTACGAGCCTGCTCGCTGGTTAAGTGCGGACCAATTAAGGCGGATGCAGTTTTGGGCACCTCCATTCTTGTCGATGATTTACACGGTAATAATTTCTCGCCCGTCGTTTTAGCATCGTTCGTAATTTTGATCTTTCGTCTTGCGAAATTTTACCGTGACGCATAATCCGATTCATTTTTCGTTTCATTATATCGATTTCCTCGTGCATCGATTTAAACGCGTCACTTGCGCATAATCGAAAAGCCTGTCTCACGCGACAAATTCCTGGATGAATTTGGAGCAAATGTGCGACGCTGCAAACGCTTTCTTTCACAATGCGCTTTGGAACCTGGAATTTTCTCTATTGTGCTTTGTTTCGGTGCCCGAGACAAAAGAACACGCGATAACCATGCTGGACCTCTTCACACCTATTAAATGCCTTCTGCAGAAAGAATCCATTCGTGTCGACAATGTCGTCTTCAGGCTACACTCGCGCGTCACTGTTCTCCTACTGCTCGTTTGCACGATTCTCGTAACTGCTAAGCAATACATCGGCGAACCGATTTCTTGCATGACCGATGCTTCCATCGGTATGAATTCTGCTAACCTTTATACCCGTATTCATAGTCAGGCCTTATATTTAAGGCTTCCTTAAATTTATCTTCAGATACTCTACGAATTATTTCATTGACTACTGAGCATCTAAAGATAAATTTAAGGAAGCCTTAAGTACAAGGTCTAACTATGAATACGGGCATTTTAGATCTCAAGTGTGTGAGTATTTGGGATATCAAATTCTTATAGAAGTCGCTTAAGGAATTAATCATAATGATTACATTCAAAAATCCTTTTTAAATATCTTTCCATACATATACTGAAAAGAGTTTGGTAGTAGTTATCAAATGTCGAGTGAAATAACGTCAATCAAACGATTTAATAATACGAGTTAATATAACCAAAAATAATTTTTTTTAATATTTCGTAATTATTATTAAATAGTTAATTATTATGTTTGATAATATTTACTAAATATTTAGAAAAATAAAATTATTTTTAGTTATATTAAGTGAACATTTGATTGAAATTATTTCATTCAACATTTTTTGATAGGTACTACTAGATTCTTTTTTCAGTGTGAGTATTTAATTATTGCTTGAGCAAGAGCTTATTAATAATAATTGGTCATAATTGATATTTGATATGTTGCTGGCAGACAAAGATCCCGTAAATGCGTATTGCTGGATCTACAGCACATTCACGGTATCCCGACATCTGAAAGGTATTCCTGGACGGGATGTAGCGAGTGCTGGTGTAGGACAGGCCCTTCCGGATGACGAAGCCCGTCATCATCGATATTATCAGTGGGTCAGCTGAATTTAGAACGTTTACGATATGGATGAGAAGATAATCGATACAATGTTGATAAACAGTTTGTTGATGGAACACAAAAAATACATTTATTAAACTATTATACAATATCCCGGAAAATATACGTATTTCAATATAAATTATCGGTATTAAAGTCGTCATGTATCCACCGCGATTCTCTCAAATATTTGCTTTTGTTATAAACTTTTTTATAAGTTACATTTCCTCGTGAACCTTAAATCAAATCTCCGATAAAATCAAGTTATGAACTCAGTCGAAACACAAAGTTATCTTTATTGACTCGTACCCTTCAAGGCCAAAAGCTCAAGAATTTTTATGCTCGATATAAAAGTTCTCCGAGAGACTCCTACTTCCGTTAGACTTCTTCGGGAAATTCTCGCCGAGGAAAGATCGACTCGGAATTCGTCAAAGGCATCCCTAAATTGTTTTTCGATGGAGCACTCTGAAAAATTGAAAGCAAACGGGAGAGAAATGTTAGGGAGAGAACGCGCGTGTGCGACGGAATTGGTCGATCGCATAAGTTTCCGTATGGAATGCACACACCTACTAGCGCGTTCATGTACGCGAGATGCATGATAACGGCTGCACTTCGTTCCGATGGTCAGGTCGCTCTCTCTCGGCTCACCGGCGCATGCAGACGTATTGCGCGAGCGTGAATGAAATCTGAAACGTGAACGCGTGAATGTAAAGGAAAACGTCCGGAAAGGACGGAAGACGGCGCGAGGAAATGGAAATAGAGATCGCAGATACTGGACCGTTATCCTACATCTCTATATTGCGCGATTCACATCGCGGAAGGGAACGCACAGTAGGGGTTTCCCCATGAAATCTTTAGATTTTCAAATAGAAAAATATTAAGTCAAATATAAATATTTTCTGTTGAGCCTTTTGCAAAGAATGAAATAATTCGGCGATATTTATCTGTGTAATTATACGTGTTATGTCTGTGATATCTTTTTTAAATTTTTTTTCTTTTTAATTTCCGGCGATATATAGGGGACACAATATATTTGTTATCTCTGTTAAAAATTCGCCTCTCTTTAAGAAGAGAGATAAGATAAAGATTAATTTAAGAAAAATTGGAAATAAGGATGTAATGTTTATTAGGTATGCTTCGTTCTCGGCTTACAAGCCATTTCTTTTTACGTGCCGCGCGCGTTATGGGGCATCTGGGAGAGAGGAACCATAAGTCTTCTTTCGCGGGATCTTGCGTCTCCCTTTCTAAGAGATGTCTGGACCGAGGAGAGGAAGCAGCAGCTCGTCGAATATTTCACCAAAACGAATCTGCACGGTCACAATTTCTACGCCATGCGTTTTTTTGGGTGCGAGCTCTTGAACTTCTTAAATTCGGTAAGTATAATTCCCCTTCAGTTTAGAAACGGAAGAGTTTCTGCGGAGAGGTACTTAAGGGATCTCGATTGGCCAACTGGGATTATGACGTCAGAAGCGAGGAAATTGCGCGGAAATAACTGTGAATAATTGATTTCTGGGTTCGATAATGAGTCCGGGCTAACGAAACGTGGTCGAAACTTTGCTTCAAAACGAACCCGATATATCGCGCGGAAATACAACTCGAGGGCCCTCATATAAAATACAACCACTTTAAAACAAATTAATTAAAAAACGACCAAGTAAACGAGCATACAATGCTGTTCATTAATTATTTAAGATTAGGGTAATATACCGAATATCTAATAGTCTAGACGTTTCGACTCACAGAGTCTTCTTCAATATATAAATTTAAAAGAGCCTATTCTACTATACATAATTACTGTTATCTGTCGGAAAATAGACGAAATCGATTTGTCAGCATTTCTTTTTCATTCGAGTTTTGTAATTAATTTGTTTTGTTGTGCAAACATCGAGCGATATTTATATTCTTTGTTATAGCCACTTCACTTTCTTTACAATTCGGCAAGTAAAAAAATCGACAAATTCACGCAATCATTAAAATTCGACATTTACTGATTTGTACGATTATTAATTTTAAAAATGCCACAGAGAGCGTTAAGTTAACGAAAACTCTCGATAAAACCTTTCATCGTTAGATAGGACAGATATATCTGTTGGATATATTTCTGGAGGGACAGTTTAGGCGATACGGACCCATGGTGAGCGCATTCCTCACCGAGGAAAGTCCTCACGAAAGGATCGACCCTATGGCGCGATTGTTTCCGAAGGTGACCAAGTGTACGATTCACACATTCGGGCCCGCGGGTTCCGTGCAAACTCACGATGCTTTGTGCGTGCTTCCGCTGAACGTGGTGAACGAGAAGATCTTCGTCGTTCTCTGGTTCTGGCTAGTGTTTCTTGCGGGCGTCGGTTGCCTCGCAGTAATCTATAGGTACGTAAGTTCCTTCAATGACTGCGCATTATGGCAACTCTGATTACAACGTCAGAAACATACTCCAACAATCTATAAAACTTATTCTACGCGGATATTATAATATTTTGTATTCATCAATTTTCCAGCACTTCGTGCTACAATTGCAAATCTTGCATTATATTTTAATCCTAGAGTGCAATTGCTATTGAGTGATAAAGTATGTTATCGATACAACGATTTTACGTGCAAGAAAATAGGTCACTCTTGATTAATGTAACACAAGTTTCATACATTTTACACTTTTAATGACAAAATATTTATAAACACGAATAACCTAATTATTAATTTAAAAGGAGAGAAAGAATCGACAGAAAACACATTATCAAATTGGAAATCAATCTGTAAATGATATGGAGTGTCCAATGTCTCCTCATAACATTTACTAATAAATATACTAATAACATAAAACTGTTTAAAAAAATTGAAATCACATATTTTTCTATTATAATATTAATCACCAGGGAGTTTAAACTGAGATATAACACGAACACAATTTTTTAAATCTCCGCTTGTTCTAACTTTCAGGATGTCATATTGAATCTCCTAATGACCGCTAAAGGTATAGCTTAGTCTTTAATAATAACTTTCTCACTTGTATATAAAATTTATATATCGATAGCATTCTAGGATTAAAAAAGAATGTTACGTAAAGCTTAAAATTGCAAGTATCGTCGGATCGATATGCAATTGATACAATCCTCCTCGCAGGATTATTGTGTTTTCTCAAGTATGGGCGAGAGTGTATCTTCTACGAGGTGCAGTTCGCAGGCTCGAGAAATCTAAGGCTGAGCGTGTTGTACGAGTATTCCATTTCGGCGATTGGTTCCTATTGCACCAACTTGCACAGAACGTCAATCCTATCGTGTACATGGAGCTGGTTAACGAGATAGCGAAAGCCTTCACGACTAAGAGTTTCGCGGACTTCATCTAGATCCCCTCGATCTCGCCTAAGTAGCATTACACGGAATTCAATTTACGAAGCTCAAAATGTTTTTATAAATATAAACGTTCAATGAGTATTCTGATATCAAATATCTTACAATAAAAAAGAGATAAATGTTTAAAAAAGATGTACTGTGCGATTTCAATAAAGATAATTAAAATCTTCTAAAAAGATTAATAAAAATAATATAAAAAATAATTTAATTAATGGAGATTCCTTATATTTAATATAACATTAATTAGTAATAATGAGGCAATAGGAGTCGTCGCTGACGAACTGTATCGTATATCGTTTTCATCGCATATCGTTTTGATGTAGTAAATTTTAATACTCTACACTTTGTGCAAATATTTCCAGCGACGACTCCTATTGGGTCATTATTATTAATTAAAAAACTTTTAAAAAGATTTTTTTTTAATTTATCAAGTTATTGAATTACCTAAATAAGTGTATTCGAATCGAAATTATCGTATTTTATTCTAAGAGGTGTTCAAAGTATTAAAATTTAAAATCTACTAAGACACGTACGAATTTCTTTCTGACAACTCAATACCGACGAACAATACGAGCAGATACGCCGCGGTGTGAGTCTTTTGTTCATCAACGTTACATTCAATTGTCCTGAAACAGAAGCAGAATTGAGATACTCTCTTCTCACTCGGCGTGTATCCATGGGAACATGAGTTTGATTCAACGAAATTACCCGAGTTACGGTTCTTAGGGTTAGGGATTTCATCGGAATTATTACGAGTCTCGTCGCGCATCGGAGATCTTTTGCGCTCTCGACCTTTTCTCACGGTGTGTTCTCGCATCGCCCTATTCTCCGGAATACGTGCGCGTTACGCATTTCCAAGGTAACGGAAACAGACGACGACGAGGACGACAAAGAGTTTTGATTTCATCGTCTCGCTGCACTCATAGGTTCGCGTATCGTGGTGAAGAGGAGAATTTGCAAAGTCGAAGTTAAGCGAACATGCGCGAGATAGTACATCTTCAAGCAGGCCAATGTGGCAATCAGATTGGAGCAAAGGTATGTTTCATATCCTTAAATAATTCTCAGATATAAGTCTCATCCAGTTCAATGTGAATACATATCACGAGAGCTCAAATAAATACACTTATCCAATTGGGACTAAAAATATTTATGTATAACCTTGAAATATGTTACGCACACGCAAAAATATCGATTGTATATCGAAGTATCGAGATTCTTGAGAAATTTCTATTTAAATGAAATATTTCTTTCTCATTACAACGATCACAGTTTTGGGAGGTGATCTCGGACGAGCATGGGATCGATCCCACGGGCACGTATCACGGTGACTCAGATCTGCAGTTGGAGCGAATAAATGTTTACTACAACGAGGCGACAGGCGGTAAATACGTGCCACGTGCGATTTTGGTCGATTTGGAGCCCGGGACAATGGACGCGGTTCGTTCGGGGCCGTTTGGTCAAATATTCCGGCCAGACAACTTCGTGTTCGGGCAAAGCGGCGCTGGTAACAACTGGGCCAAGGGACATTACACCGAGGGCGCCGAGCTCGTCGACTCCGTCTTGGACGTTGTTCGCAAGGAGGCTGAGAGCTGCGATTGCCTCCAGGGATTCCAGCTCACACACTCGCTGGGCGGTGGTACTGGTGCCGGCATGGGTACTCTGCTCATCTCGAAAATACGCGAAGAATACCCTGATAGAATCATGATGACCTTCAGCGTGGTACCTTCGCCGAAGGTATATTATTCTATAAATTTAATTTTCATTTTAATTTCAGTTATTTTTTAATGCCCTTTCTATTCAAATCAGAAATTCAGATCTCTTTTTCGGTTCTACGATTTAACGTCTAGTATGATTTTAAAAGAAATAATTTAGACGTTCTCTCTATATTCACGGATGAAATCTTCATTAACTTTTGGAAACAATACGAGATTGGATTTCACGTCAAGAGTTACATTTCGAATTTCCACGTGTATCGGGAATCGGGAATCATCCGCGGAGCATGCAGCGTGTCTCGCTGCGGCGCAACATGAAAGTCTTTCTGATGCGCGCAGGATAAGGTACAATGGATGCGAGACAAAGCACCCGCCAGGAACCGACCTTTTGTCCTTAATAGGACAATACTAAGCGCGTTGCCAGCATACAATACTTGTACTCTCTCTCTCTCTCTCTCTCTCTCTCTCTCT